TACCAAGATTATTTGTGCCATGTAGGGTTTGTTTTGAAGAGGAAGAAGATTAACATGTTTGATTGTTTTGAAGAGAGAAGAAGATGGTTAGCAACATACTTAGCCGTAGTTTACTTTTAAGTTTTTACATATTAGGTCAAATTAGGTATTTATTATTTTAAGTCTGTCATAATAGATTTATAAAAGTCTGTCATAGTAAGTTTGTTGTTCGATATTAAAATCTGTCGTTTAAAAAAAGTTTGTCATCAATAACTTTGATGACGAAAATATGTTTATCAATCAAAACTGTCATCCAAAAATAAATCTATTAAAAATAATTAAAACTGTTGTGTCAATAAAAAAAAATTGCTATATAAATCTGTCTCAGAAAATAAGTCTATTAAAAATAATTAAATCTGTTGTGTAAAACTTCCCATTTATTTTTATATTATCATCATTTGGAAGCTCTTCTTGATATACAATTTACTCTCATCATTCAATCAGTTTAATTTCGTTTAAATCTACATTTTGTTTCCGAATACATATTTAAGTACATAAATTTTCAAACAACGTAGATAGTAAATTGTGCGATCCATGAACATGACTTCTATCTGAAGTAAGCTTTGCTCGAACAAACCGATTTCAAGCAATCAAATTTCTAGATCATGTCAACTTAATCCAAAACTCTAACTTATGTAATTTTAAGCTAATAATTAGATGGTGGCATCTACCCATGTTGAAAAGTAAACAAAAAATAAAGGTTCAAAAATAACCAATGGTGTTATTCAATCCTTTTTTTTTTCCTTTCTCCTCCATCAAGTTTAGAGGAAATTGTTAATTGGGTCAGAATAGCCTCAAGATATTAAAAGCTCAACATCATCTGCAAGATAATTCTTCAAGCCTCCTTGCTGATCAAACGAGCATGTCAAACAATTAGAAACAAGCTCACGGTCTTATATTATCGAGACATCGACCAAAAGTAACTCAACTTGTGCATGATCATGGCATGGTTCGAATATATCAACTTTTCACCTCTCTCTCTCTACTGTTCTGTGATTTTTTCACACACTCTATTCAATTGATTGTTGCATGTGTAATCTATTGCGTCATTGTAATCAATCTCATCATTTGTAAATGATGTTTATTTAGGAGGGGAATCAAAGAAGTGAATACAAGTATACTGTATACAACAGATTAAAACAAAATGAATTTGTAGAGAAATTTACGATAGCATAAATGGTAAAAATCTCTCTAGAAATTAAGATACAAGATAAAAAAATCAAAAGTTCTGGTAGTAGCTTACTCCCTTAGGATTTGATAACCCTTTTGTGTACAACTGCATTGCTGTGCCCTTGCAGTAAGACTTTAAATTGGGTAAAACTAGACTTTACAGTAATACTTTAAATTAGGTAAAACTAGACCCCTATCATGATGCAAGTATTGAACATATCAGATAGAGACAACCTGAGACTGAAAGAACTTTGGTTCTAATACTAAAAATGATACAAGCACGGGTCTTTCACTCGGAACCTACGATCGATGGACAATAACTGCAATCAGTCTTCCTAGGATTTGATCAGATTAGACGAGAAACTTGAGTCTAGCCGGATCGGTTGAGATTGTGGAGATGGAAATGTTGGTTAATACAATAACTGAGAAGCTCGAGTTAACAGATAAGTGGTCAGATGAATGTCAAAGGGGGAAGTGTTGAGGACGACAAAGGCTGTGTAAGGCCGATGATAAAACACAAGGATTTTCAAGCTATGGAGTAACTGGTCTCAACAAAGCTTAAAGAAAGAAAATAAATATCTTGTTTTTTATTGATAATCAAAGGTACATAATTACAATGCTGCAGGAGAACCTTATATAATGATTCTTCAGCTTAGAAAAAAAAATACAAAAATGTATAAGAAAAAATTATATCAGTCTAAAATAAAACTTATTTTAAGAAAGTATAAAATTTGTTGAATTAATACAAGATAAATAAAGGGAGTTAGTGAAGATAACTGAAATGATTGTAAAGCATACCTATCTTACCTTTGGCGTGATTGTTCTGTGACACAAGCTAATGAAATGATGGTTTATCATGACCATGTATTGATTGCTTTCTTAGGCGCTAATCTTTGAAATGGTGAAGACTTGTACTTGAGCTTGCATGGGTAGTATGGGCCATTGTTCTTGTGGCATTGGTCTTGTAACAGTACTTGATCCTTGGAACTTCACACAAAGCCCAATCCAATGATGCTCTTGTAGGCTTTCTGGCTCATCTTGACTGATAGCGTGTAAATGGCTTGATCATACTTGTGTTGCAAGGTTATAGCTCTTTGTTTTGTAATTATTCCCACATGATTATCTGGCATTTCTACTTCTTGTGTATATTGTAGCTGAGGCTCGGTTAAGTAATGAAAAATAATGATCTCACCTCCATTTTTATAGTAGAAACAAAAGGCAAAAAGGCATTCAAAATATCTAGGCCAATAGCAAAGTACGCAAAATGGCAAGAGCCTGAAGTGCAAATACTTATGCCTCAAGCCGTGCACATAGAGGACGCGGCTATTGGTAGAGCAGGTTCACGACACATCATTATTTTGAGAAGCGAAGTGTTGAAATGTTGGGAGGAAAACAAAACAAGGCTAAAATTACGGCACAATTTCCCACTGGAGGGACGAATAAAAACCTGCCATGTAGACAGTTTTGTTAATCGACGGAAGATGCACATGGAAAGAAAAATGGTACATACCTGGTCCTGGAAGTAAGCAGCAGAAAAAACTCATGACCAACAAGGACATGGAGAATGCCATCCCCAAACCAGGGACTAACTCACCACTAAACAACAACCTGTCTAAAACCAAATGGGATACTTTTAGTGTCTAATGTTGCTATATAAATGTGGATTCTTCTTATATATTTTCTCAAGCTTTAAATTTGTAAAGACCCTAAGCTGCAATTGCACAACGTGCATTGTAATACTTAGAGTTCGAACCATGGCAAAAAATCTAATACAAAACAAAAGGATATTAGAGCGACAAAAGACACACGGATTTGTGGGGGTTTTGGTGTCATGGTTTTGGTAGCTATTGGATGTGAGAATTGAAAAGCAAAGCAAGTAAAAGTAAACGGAAACGTAAAAGATTTGAAAGTAGATACAGTCAGAGAAACCAAACTAAAGAGAAACAAAAAAACGAAGTGAAAATCAATAAACGAAACATTGGGCCGAAGGAATTTTGCAGGGATTCACGGATCAGTTTAGGAAAATAATTGATAGGATCTAAGTTTTACCCACTTTTGGTATACTGCAAGTGCACAGCAACGCAGTTGTAGTACAAGGGGTTATCGAATCCCAAGGGAGTAAGTTAATTACACTATAGAGTTCAGGTTCAGATTAAGCTAAGCAGTAAGTAATGTATGTAATGTGAAATAGCAAAATAAATGAAGGCAGGCGAAATTTGTTGATTGATCTAAGTTCATAAAGCTAAAGGCACTAAGTCAAAATAATTCGCAGGTTGAATCCGAGAATATAAAATGCATGCAATCAGGAATGGAATTAAAACCATCTAGAACTTGAAACATAATGATATAACTAATCAATTCTCATTGCAGAAGTTATCTATGCCTAAATCACAGAATTTCAAATCTCTTTGCAAATTCTAACAATTTAAACATGCAGTAATGATCATGTTTAATTGTTCACAAAACTCCTAAGTCAAATCTCTTTGCAAATAGGCGTTTTGCTTATCTAATACTAGTTCAAGTGGTTAAAAATGTTCTCACATCTATTAAACAACCTAAGATTTTGAAATCTAGATAATTAGTCTCAAAAATCGATATAAATGCAAGCACATATGAAGAACCAATGAATATCCCTATCAGTTTAGCAATTCTACAAACTCTTCATCAACTTTTGAATGATCCTAACTTAACTAACAAACTACTCAGACATGGTGAATTGAGATAACATCATGAATAGAATAGATTGCATAAAAGAAATAAGAGATAAAGATAAAGGAGTTCGAAATCTGCTCTGAAGGAGTCTGATTTGTCTCTCCAAAAGCTCTTGTAAAAATCTCTCTCAAAAGCTCTCTAAAAATTAAGATACAAGATAAAAAACCAAAAGAATGGCTGAAAAACCTAATAGACAAGATAAAACACGAGCTGAGGTCTTCTTATAAATAACAGAACTTCTAGGCCAAAAGTGCAATATCTTCTCCATCTTTTAATACAAGTCGCGATTTTCTTCAGATGAGGGTGACGAGCGTCACCAATAGCAGGACAACGACTTCTGACTTGCTTACTTCGGGGATGGTTCTTACAATGATCCAAAAAGCTTTAGAATCTCTAATTATGCTCTAGTCATGCTATAACCTGCAAATACTATATTAGGACTCTAAAAAGACCAAAAAGACTCCGAAGAAAGGACTTATACCATGGTTAAAAACCATGATATATCAATAATTCAATGAGAAGAGTAATCAATTAGACAAGTTTTTTAAACTGAAACACGAAAGTATAATCAATCTATTTTCATAGAATCGTCTAGATATGTCATACTACTCTGTAAGTATGCGATTCCATCTTACAACGCAACAAAGCATGTAACATAAATGAGTGTATACACTCAAAATGCTTTGTGAGTATGCTTTCGTATCCGACAACGCAATTTATTTTTACCCTAAATCTGATTAATAATGAAAACATGTTTATGGTTCCACCAACCCTAATATCTGAAGCTAGATCACAAGTTAGCTTACTTGTATTAAGAACAATGATAAATTAAGAACTTTTAAAAGTATTAATAACTCTATTAAGAGAATATCTTAAATTAAAATATCATATTCATATTATTTTTCATATTATCAAATATTTTATATAAAATTTTAACCTATTATATAGTGACACATGGTTAAATACATTTTTCATAGTTTTTTGTTTGAATAGCCATTGTTTTGCTTTTCTTTTTTTTTATTATTATTAATTTTTTAATTCTGAAAGACTTATGTTAGAGATGAATTGAAATTCTCTATGCTGAAATACGGTTTGAAAACCCGTTGATAGAGATGTTTTTATTGTTAAATTGGGTTCATTGCTTCTTTTTGCCCATCCCTTGACTTGACATAATGTAGTAGTAACTAAAAGTATTATTCATTGATCATCCCCTTTTTGGGGGAAATTATTCTATTTAGTACAGTAAACAAAGCTCCTTATGTTATCTATGGAGCAAGTAGAAAGAGTTATGACATGAGCTTGATCATAGGCATAAACTGTTCATGCATCTGCGAGCTTCTTGTATTGGGAGAACAGGCTAGAGCGGAGGAAATCTTGTTTTGTAGGGTTCTTGGTGGTAACGTTAATGAACTTCTGGTACCATTTGCCAGAATCTTTTAAGTTTCTATCAGTAACGTCTGTCCAATTAACGTAACTGAGTCCAAATCTGACGCTAAAGCCTTTACAGAATTCATAATTATCTCCAAGAGCCCATGCAAAGTATCCTTTTATGTTGACATTCTTCTCTCTGCATGGACAATCATAATTAAAAGGATAATGATATCAAACATGCATGTATATATGTAAAAGAAAAAAGAAGAAAAAAACAAGAGTGTAGTAGTAGTAGCTAGCATCCACTCACTTGATGACTTTACTGAGAAAGCAGAGATGACTACAAAGATAGTCAATCCGCTTGGAATCGGCAACAGCCTCCTCACGGGTTTCGGAACCGAGGCTACTAATTCCTAATCAAACCGTCACGGTACATGAACAATTGGTACAATATTTGTGTCAATATATTCAGAGAAATATTGGAAATACACTTAACATGAAAAAATATGAGTAGTAGAACTCACCGTTCTCGGTGATATAGATTAAAGGGTCACCGTATCTGGTTTTGAAGTGATCCATTACGTAATAAATTCCCTTTGGGTAGTAATAGCTGTTACCGCTTACCTTGTCTTCAGAGAACTGAGAAACAGAGGCAAATATATATAAGCCAGAAGAATTATTTTGCTTAAATTTTTTATTATTGAATGGAAGAATCATGCATATATATATACCAGTGGACCAGGAACTTCACCACGTGAATTTTCAGCTGTAGACACAAGGATGATGAAATAATTGATGGTCAGTCACACAATATGTTTTGTAATAGAAAGGTTGTAACTAAGTGGTAATATATAGAGTATTACACGTGAGCTTTACGCATGGGTCCATCATGGCAGTGTGATTTGGCGAAGGATATGGGTTAGCAGCTGGCTGTGCATACTGAGTGACGTAATAGTTGAGACCAAGAAAATCATATGAACCCTTTACGAGTTTGGCTTCTGCTTCAGTGAAGTTGGGAAGACGACTTCCCACAATTTTCCTCATGACGTCTGGATATCTACCTTTTGTTAGCGGCTCCATAAACCTGATCCATGTAAAGATTGGAGGGGGAAAATACATGGTTATACCTAAGTTGGGGTTTATATATACAACATATATTAATAATGTATTTAAAAAGACGTTTTTATTTGTTGGTACCATCCTAAGAAGAATTCTTTTATCCTCTCAGTTGCATCTATGCAGGCTTTATCAGTCTCATCATATGGAAGAAACCATCTAGTTATCATCACAGGTCCGATCTTCCCTCCTTGGAACTGTTGGTCATGATATACACACAAATGATACGATTAAATTAGGAATAGCTAGATATGTAAGATTACACTTTTTTTTTATAAGTCATGAACTCACCTTATATTTCTTCCTATAAAGATCAACCACCGCGGCATGAGCAAGAAGCTGGTTATGTGCAACTATATAGGGTTCCGTTGAAGAATTTCCGCCGTAACATCTCTTATCAATCGCTTGAGAACATCGACCGGGTGCATCTGTCCCGATTGCATAGCCTCTCGTAGGCACTGTGTAGAGCTGGTTGATAGTGAGCCAGTTCTTTACCTTTCCACCGAATTCCTTGAAACATAGATCCGCGTAATCTTTGAAATCATCTCTGCGCATATGTTATAGAATTGTTTCATTCATTGCAAGATCAAATCTTTATACGCATGCTGCCATATTTCTTTATAATATAAGAAGCATGGGGGCACTGCACAAATAACATACATGACTTCGCGGCTCAAGAAACCTTCATACTCATCTTGCAGTGTTTGAGGAAGGTCCCAGTGAAAGAGGGTAACGAAAGGCGTTATGTTCTTTGCGATGAGGGCATCTATGAGTTTATGATAGTAATCAAGACCTCCTTTGTTCACTCCCCTACTCCTTTTTCCTTCTGCTCATTCATGTTTACATATTCGTATATTTAATCTTCCTGAAAATCTTAATCAAAACACAAAGACTTGTATTGTATGTATCGATAATGTGTACATACTTGGAATGATTCTTGACCACGCAAAGGAGAATCTGTAGCCAGTAGCATTCATTTCGATTATCGCCTCTACATCTTTCTGCAGTTTACATATACAACAATCTCATATCAATCCACACATAGTTGATTAGATAATTCAATTAGTTAGTGTTTATAGGAATCAACCTCCCATCTTGTATATGACTCACAAGTAGTGTCTCCATTCCCATGATCTGGTCCTCCTTTCTCTGATAGTAAACAAATACATAATTACTTTGAATAAATATATATATATATATATATATATACCTATTAGTTATACACGTAAGTATACAACAGCATGCAAACGACATACATACCTGGGTATCGGTGAGTGAAGCCATCCCAAACGTTTAGACCACGACCTCTGCCTCCTTCGACCTGAAATGAAAAGAAACAACCATGCAACGTTGGAGTTATGTTTTTTACTAATGGTTTTCTACACAATGTGTAATGATTTGTTATATGCCTGGTACGCAGCAGATGCAACACCGAAAATGAAGTCTTTATCGAAATTTTTACTGCTTAAAACGTCAATGTTTCCACATGTGAATGGCTCCTTCTCTTCGCAAGAAAGTTCCTCATCTGCTTTGCAAGTAGTCGCTAAAGCTGATAGAAAAACAACCAAGGCGACTCCGTGAAACTTCTTCATGGTTATTTTTTTGTGTGTGTTTGTGTTTGTGTTGGATGGAACCTTGTGCTGATCTAGGGTTTATATAGCCATTGTAAAGAACATTGACGTCTGCATTTTCTTGTGGGAGATGTTTAGCTGAGTTGAATCTCGTGGGTCCACCGATTTTGGTTTGCTATCACGAGATCATATCCTAAAACAATCGAGTAATTAGCTCCATTTAGTAAAACATTAAGCATATGTGTGATGTGTTCCTTGTCGGGAACATGACTTGGAATACGAGTTGTCTTATATTCAATTGATCGTCCACAATAACGTAGTGCTACATGTATGGAACGAAATACCTAGAACGACATGCATCAAATTTGTATAGTAGATAATGTTCAAAACCTATTAAGTTTGTTTTTTTTTGAACTTTTGCTTTAAACCTATTAAGTTTGGCCATAAATTTTTTGAAAAGGTCTATAAAAATATAATCAAGTACGTGTTCAATCTAGTGTAGACGAGAAAAATAATTACAATATTGATTCTAGCCTCTAGGCCACACTCATCACGAGCCTCGCCTCTCACATTCAGAGCATCTCGAATTGATATTTGGCTGCATGATGCTTTTATCACATGAAACAAGAGAGTACTCTTTCTCCACAAGGAACCAAAAGAAACAAGAAAAAACAAAAAGAAAGCAAATACCTCAATATATTTGTTTGTTTTTCAAATGGTCATTTAAAATTAATTGGAGATAATTCGTCATCTGCAAAACAGTAATCTTTTATGGCTTTCGATTTTTTTTTTAATTGCTGCTAATCATAATTAATTGAAAAGTTAATAGGCTAAAATGACGATGAGGACCTCCTAGCTGAACCTTACTTAACCGAGCCTCAGCTATAAGATAGACAAGAAGTAGAAATGTCAGATAATCATATGGGAGCAATTACAAGACAAAGAGATATAACCTTGCAACACAAGTATGATCAAATTATTTTACACGCTATCAATTAAGATGAGCCAGAAAGCCTACAAGAGCATCATTGGATTGAGCTTTGTGAGAAGCTCCAAGGATCAAATAATGTTACAAGACCAATGCCACCAGAAGAATGGCCCATACTGCCAATGCAAGCTCAAGTACAAGTCTTCACCATTCGAAAGATTAGCACCTAAGAAAGCAATAAATAAGTCATCATTTCATTACCTTGTGTCATGGAACAATCTTACCAAAGGTAAGATAGGTATGTTTTACAATCATTATACTTATCTTGACTAACTCCCTTTGTTTTTCTTGTATTAATTCAACAAATTTTATACTTTCTTAGAATAAGTTTTATTTTAAACTGTTATAATCTTTTCTTATGCATTTTTGTATTTTTGTATTTTCTATTTTCTAAACTAAAGAGCCATTATAAGTTCTCCTGCATCATTGTAATTGTATGCCTTTAATTATTAATTAAAAATGGAAATTTGTTTTTTCTTTCTTTAAGCTTTGTTGAGACCAGTTACTCCATAGCTTGAGAATCCTTGTGCTTTATCATCAGCCTTACACAACCTTTTGGTAGCTTGCTATATTCTAGTGACTTTGACTGCATTTCATTCATCTTTTCCCCTGTTTTTGCATTTTTACTTAGCATTTTAGTCTTATTTTCATCTAGAATTAACATTGCATGCATATAGTTTAGGATTGAATATATATGCACCTTTATTGTGTTTTTCAGGTGCTTTGGGAAGTCTTGGGACTTGGGAAGGAGATTGGACCATCATACATTCGAAGAGATATCATAAGAAGGAGTATTGTAAGAGTCTGCATTCATATCGAGAAAAAACATCAAACAGAACACCTATGGAGTATGTCCGATGTAAGCCGCGTTACATGAAGAAGAGGACTGGTTCGTGGATTCTAAGGCATTGTTCTACGTCGAGGTGGTGCATCGTGCAGGGAAAGCTATAAAAACCGATATACGTCTACACCGAACATATCAAGGTGGTGCATCGAGCTGAACACCGTCCGTACAACCCCGATATGATTTATCTGCGTGTTTGACCAGTTTTTATTTGATATTATCCTCTTTTTAGGTTTTTTTTTTCTTTCTTTTTGGTTCCCTAGTATAAAAGGGAGCCACAAAACATTATCATTTATGTCTAAGAAGTTCTAATCTTTTTCTTATCCTTTAGTCACAAAAAGGGCGATTTGCCAAACTTTGTATTAATCTTATCTTTTTAATCAAGTCTTTCATTTCATGTTTTAATCTTGTCTATTGATCTTTGATTTTCAAATCCTTGTACTTAGTTTCATTATATTTTCATTTAATCTCATATGATCATGTCTAACTCTAATCTAATGGGTTTAAACATGATTAATAAGTAGTTTACCTTATATTTGAGGTTCTAAGTAGGGAAAGTGTTATTTAGGAGTTGATTAAGGGTGATTAGGCTTGTTTATCTTGATCTCTATTGTTTCCTTCTCTTGCAAAGTTGTTATTGTTCATAAAGCTTCTCCCTTTTGATTGAATATGGTATTGTTGATGCAAATGGTTCACTTAATGGTTTGAAGTGTTGTTGTTAGCATGATTCGCTTATTTGGTTTGATAGTCTAGCTTGATTTATGATTCCTTTGTTCAGTGGCTCCAAAGTTGAGAGTTTGCCTTGCTAGATGATTCGCTTAGGGCTAGATAGTGTTTGCTTCAAGACTCTTTCTTGATCGTTAGATAGTTTGCATTGAAAATACATTCCATTGTTTGAATCCTGTTCATTGGTTAACATTTTTAGGTTTCACAATTGTGAGCTTAAATCTATGTTCTTGATTGGTTGAGTTAGCTGCTTAGGTCCCTAGAGAATCCAAAAGATTGATAGGTTGACTTGGATTGTTGTTTGAGTGAGAGAAGTTTGCTTGATTAAGTGCTTCTTTTAGACTATATGGTTCTATGCTTTATACTCATAATTAGTGAATATACCACCAAAAGTAGGTTCGACACACTAATCTTGTTAAAATGGATTTGCTTATTAACCTCTAAGTAGATTCTCTTTAGACACTGTTTATGATTGCAATATTGAGAAATGATTACTTGTTGATTGCCTTGTTTAGAAAATCCATTAGTCACTCTTGAAACCACTTAACCACTATTTCTTAGAACCTTGGGTATTTTTTTTATTTATCATCTTAAATCGCTTTTGCTCAGTTGTCTTTGCTTGATTATTTCCAGCATTCATATAGTTTAGTTTATTGCTTAGTCACTCATCTTGCTTAATTATCTTTCTTGCTTTTGATTTCTTGCATTGTTAGGTTGTTAGACTTGTTCTTGCATCTTATAAACCCCATCTTGACTTAGCTTATTGCATAGGCTGCATCTCAATTTATCCATAAGTGATTGATACCTCGTCCCTATTCTACAACTTATTAGAGAGAGGACATTTGTCTTAAGACCATAAAGTCTTGTACCAAATTGGCGTTGTTGCCCTTGTGGATGTTTATTGAGTTTGTCATTGCTATTAGACTAAGTTTTTCCTTTTTAAGTTACTAAATAGCTCTGTTTTCGTTGCTCTGTTTTCTCAGGTACTTGCGTGAATTTGAGGTTCAAAGGCTCAACAAACTTAGTCCCTCCTATAGACAATATTCATCATCTAGAGTGTGGGGTTAGAAGAAGAGCAGTAAGACGGAGAGCTCAGGAGTTAGAAGAACATAGAATGGTATAGCAAGAAGGTGGCCACTTGCCACACATAGGTGTTGTTGGACAAGCACCAGTACAAGAAGTTGCTGCACACTTAGAAGAGGTTCAAGGAGCTATGAACAATGAGAGGCACAATGCAGCTAGTGTACAAGGATTACGAGCATCGGTTCATGCACAAAGAGTTCAGAGACCTATAGGAGCTTGTGATGTGCATGATACACATCATAACCGCAATGTGATTAATGCTCCAGCTGTGCACCAGAATCATTTCGAAATCAAGCTTGGTCTCATAAACATGGTTCAAGGAAACTGATTTCATGGTTTACCCAATGAAGACCCTTTGGACCATTTAGATCAGTTTGACAATGTGTGTGGCATGAATAAGATACAAGGAGTATCAGAAGATGCTATGAAGCTGTGCATATTCCCTTTCAGCCTTGGAGATAAGGCGCATCAGTGGGAGAAGGCCCCTCCTCAAGGTTCAATAACCACTTGGGATGAGGGGAAGACTGCATTTCTCAACAAGTTCTTTAGTTCAACAAGAATAGCAAAGCTCAGGAATACAATCAGCAGTTTCACTCAACATGGGAATGAGACATTCAATGAGGCATGAGAGCAATTTAAGTCTTACACATTGCAATGTCCCCATCATGGATTCACCAATGAGGGCCTGCTGTCTACTTTGTACCGTGGTGTTACTCCGACATATAGAATGCTTCTAGACACTGCTTCTAATGGTAACTTCATGGGCAACACAGTATTTGATGGTCATTCTCTAGTTAAGAACTTGGCCTTATCAGATGGGATTTATGGAGAAGAGTATGAAAGGACTACATAAGTTGTTGGGAGTGCTGAATCTGAGAGTACTACTAAGAAGGATATCAAAGCTTTGACTGAAAAGATTGATAAGCTTTTGAATGTGTCTTTCAAGAATGTGAGCTATGTTGGTGAAGCTGTTGTTGTACAAGAAGAAGATGGGACGGTTATAGAGGAAGAAGCCTTCTACATGAATCAACAAGGCTTTGGATGTTTTAACAACAGTCACAACCATCCTAACTTCTCTTATAGAAGCAACAATATGGCTAATCCCCAAGACCAGATCTATCCATCACAAGGCGCTCCACAAAGCCAAGGCAACAAACCTTTTGACCCTTTCAACGAACAGCAAAACTTTTCTCCAAGACCACCAATTCAAGCCAACTTAGGCAGATTTCAGCAGTCAAACTTTCAGCCTAGACCAGATTTTGCTCCACCAGGTTTTGGCAATGCACAAGGCCCATCTAGTGCTCAGGATGGTTAGATTAAACAGATGATGGAACAGCTTCTGAATGGTCAAGCCAACACAACTATTGAGCTGCACAAGAAGTTTTCTGAAGTACACAACAAGATTGATGCTATCACTTGTGATTTGAATGGTAAGCTAGATGCCTTAAACCAATGAGTAAAGTCTCTTGAGAGAAAATGCGCTTCTTCTTCAAAGCCTCAGAACCAATTACTTGGAAATAGTTCTGCCATTTGA